GTCAGTCTTTCCAGCATGTGCCCTTCCTCCTGTGTGTTTATTGGCATTAAAAGTCAGTGTACTAAAAGTTTTCAGGAGAGCTGTTATAGAAATCTGCTTCAGAGTAAAGGGCATTTCCTAGTTAAATTTCGCAAAAATGTTTTTCAGTTCTAAAAATAACTTGGAATTCAGGGTGAGCCATCATCCTAGATAAATGACAGTAAGGCAGATTTGTCTGAGAGAAAAAGCGAACAGAGACATGATGATCTCACTCTGAGGAAACCAAGACAGGAATTTGTTGGAATTCAAAATGTTCCAATTTTAACCATGAGACTACATGAAATTAAGCAACATTTAATGTTTAATCCCCAGTGAATGACCTATTTTGCTCCAGGATGTGATTTGTTTGCTGTAATTTGTTGTAGTGATATTTTGCCTAGATGAAGCTGCAGGAATGTTTGGTTTTCTTACGGCAACTGGTGAGTGGTTAAAATGAACTGAGAACTTTTCTTCAGGATTCTGCTTAATACTAAGTGTAGGTTAACAGAATAACACATCTGGGCTCTGTTTTTTTTCTGTAATCTGAGGGGATTGGATTAGATTATTTCCACAATAGAGTCTTATTCAACAAACATTTACGAAGTTCTCACCACATAGATAGTGTGAGTCAGAATGAAAGGCCAGACTCTCAGAGAACTGCTGTCTAGGGAGGCACGTGGCAGTGAAGGGAAATGGTTGTGATGCTTTGTGAGATGCCATGGAGGCTGCACTGAAAAGGAAGTGACTAATGCTGTCCAGGTATGGAGGTCAGGGTTGCTGGGTGGCTAGAAGATTTCAGGGAGGAGATGGTGCTCAAGCAGGACTAGAAGATTGAATAGGAGTTACCAAGGAGGACAGCAGGCAAGAATGAACTTCTAGAGACCCACTTTTTCTTCTACCTTCTACTTATCAAAAAGTATTTAGCATTGAGAGTGTTTTCTATAATGAAGGCTCTTAAAATTATCTTTTAATATGTCTTGAGAATCCTTGGTACCGTTTAAAATACAGGTATAGGCCGGATGCAGTGGCTCATGCCTGTAATCTCAGCACTTTGGGAGGCTGACGCAGGTGGATCACCTGAGGTCAGGACTTTGAGACCAGCCTGGCCAACATGGAGAAACCCCGTCTCTACTAAAAACACAAAAACTAGCCAGGTGTGGCAGTGGGCGCCTGAAATCCCCACATACTCAGAAGGCTGAGGCAGTAGAATCGCTTGAACCCAGGAGGCGGAGGTCTCAATGAACCGAGGTTGCGCCACTGCAGTCCAGCCTGGGTGACAGGGTGAGACTGTCTCAAAAAAAAAAAAAAAAAAAAAAGACACACACACACACACACACACACACACACAGGTATAATCTAAATAATCAAGTTAAATTAGGAAGAAATGGCTTTGGTACATTGTCTGGACGCTAGGGGGACATTTACTTCTCGAGTTTTTGCCAGTTTCTAGTGAATTGAATTCACTTTGGGAGGCCAAGGCAGGTGGATCACAAGGTCAAGAGATTGAGACCATCCTGGTCAACATGGTGAAAGCCCATCTCTACTAAAAATACAAAACATTAGCTGGGCATGGTGGCGCGTGCCTGTAATCCCAGCTTCTCAGGCAGCTGAGGCAGGAGAATTACCTGAACCCAGGAGGCGGAGGTTGCGGTGAGCCGAGATCGTGCCATTGCACTCCAGCCTGGGTAACAAGAGGGAAACTCCATCTCAAAAACAAAAACAAACAAAAAGCATATCAGAGGGCTGGGCGCGATGGCTCACACCTGTAATCCCAGCACTTTGGGAGGCCGAGGCGCATGGATCACGAGGTGGAGAGATCGAGACCATCCTGGTCAACATGGTGAAACCCTGTCTCTCCTAAAAATACAAAAAATCAGCTGGGCATGGTGGCGTGTGCCTGTGATCCCAGCTACTCAGGAGGCCGAGGCAGGAGAATTGCCTGAACCCAGGAGGCGGAGGTTGCGGTGAGCCAAGATTGAGCCATTGCACTCCAGCCTGGGTAACAAGAGCGAAACTCTGTCTCAAAAAAAAAAAAAGCATATCAGAAAGTAAAACTGCTTTTGTTGTTTCTATTCCTGCTACAAATCTCCCAGAGTCTGCTTGCAATGAAGTGTTAGTAGTGAGGTCTCTTTCTGCCCCCACTTCAATGCCGCCATGAAGAAAATCCTGTGGAATGTTACAAGGGATTTTAGTTGATGGAAAAGCAATACAAATGACCAGATTAGCTAGGTGCTTAAAATAGCAACAAGTGGCCTCCCCGTAGCCCTTGCCACATGGTACTTAAATGTTCATGACTGATCATTCTCCTCCCTGCCTTAGTCCACGCACACGGTGGCATCGGGTTAGGTCTTCTTGATTCATTGATGGGGTCCAAGCTCCACATTCCTTAGTGGGTATTCAGATAATTGTTGGCCAACTAAAAGAAGAAATGAAATATAAAGGGCCCAATGTTTCAAATGAAGGGAGCATAATTGAAAAATCACTGAATCCAAATTATATCACCGCGCCCGGCCTACCTGCCTTTCTTTTCCCTCACAGCTCTCAGCATGTTACATTCGTGCATGCACATTTTATTTATCTTGTTTACTATTTGTTGCTTTCATCACTGCATTATCTCCATGAGGACAATAATTTATTCCCAGTTTTGTTTACTGCATTCCAGAGCCCGGAACAGTTAGCACACAGTAGGTGTTTAGTGATTATTTGTTGAATGAATCTGTGCTACAGCAGATACATAGTGGGTAATTGTGCTCAATCTTTTTATTTAAATTAAAACATTTTTATTTATTTGTTTTGAGACAGGATCTCACTCTGTCACACAGGCCAGAGTGCAGTGGCGTGATCACGGCTCACTGCAGCCTCGACTTCTGGGGCTCAAGCGATACTCCCACCTCAGTTTCCTGAGTAGCTAGGACCACAGATATACATCATCACACCCTAGTAATTTTTGCATTTTTGGTAGAGACAGTTTTACCAGGTTGCTTGTTGATTGACTGATACGGCAGGTCTCAAGCTCCTGAGCTCAAGCGATCCTCTCGCCTCAGCCCCCAAAAGGGCTGAGATTACAGGCATGAACCACTGTACCTAGCCGTGCTCAATCTTGAGTGCAGATATTGTCATTTATTGTGCTTCATTCTGGTTGTTTTGTTTTGTTTTGTTTTTGAGACAGGATCTCATTCTGTTGCCTAGGCTGGAGTGCAGTGGCATCATCATAGCTCACCACAACCTTAAACTCCTGGGCTCAAGCAATCCTCCCACCTCAGTCTCCTGAGTAGCTGGGACTACAGGTACATGCCACCACACCCGGTTAATTTTTTCACTTTTTTAGATGGTGTATCAGTATGTTGCCCAGGCTGGTCTCAAACTCCTGGGCTCAAGCAGTTCTCCCACCTCAGCCTCCTGAGTAGCTGGGGTTACAGGTGTGAGCCACTGGGCCAGCCTTGCTTTATTCTCAAGTTTCTGAAACTGATGCCTGTATATAGTTCCTCTTAAATACTCTGGTTGATGCTCTAGCATCTCCTTTTAAACTAGATTACTGAACTCCTAGATTTCTGACCTCATACTTACATTGGCGCCTTCTCTGTCTTGTTGCTCTTGTTATACGTAATTTTTAAAGACAATAATCTGATTTAGGAGTGACAAATTAGCAGTGGCCCCGGCCAGGTGCTGCTGTTCAGCCAGCACAGCAGTTTGAATTGTTCTGACTTTGAATGAAATCTTCGGGCAAGGCTTGCACTTTGGACAGCCCACTACTCTTGTTTTACATTGATTGTTTCTTTCATTATCACAATTATTTAATTTTTGTGTTTCTTTGTGTATTGTCAGTCTCCCACAGAGGCTGGCTCCATGAGGTCAGACAGCTTTTCTCCTTCGTTCATTGCCTTCCACCCCAGCCCTAGCCCCGTGCCTGGTACCAGCGGGAACACAAGAAGTGTAGTTGACCGGGTGAGTGTACAACATCCAGGATCTGAGGTGATCCCTGGTGTGGGTGTGGAGGAATAAGGTTGGTCTTTCTACCAAACATACTTACACATGGCGAGTCCTTAAAGCTGCCAGCTTGGCTGCTGTTGCTTGGAATGTTTCTGAAATCCTCTCTGGGAATTGCCTTTTTTCAGTTGATGATTCAACAACACAGTTGTTCAAGATTTTCACATTTACAAAGTGCTTTCCCATGCATTTTCCCAATGGAGCGATCATCCCCCTTCTGATGTGAGTGTGATAGTTTGCTGTAGTGAATGAATCTGCCTGTGTCGCACAGCAAGTCTGCAGCACGGTGGCCTTGTCCCCCTCCCCCATGCCAACCTGGTGTTTTCTCTTCTTCACCACCACAGTGAGTGCTTGTCCAGTTTCTCTCAGGGTCAGGGCGGGGGGCCTGGGCCTCTGGTGTGTTTTCTAGGAAAGAGTGACATTAGTCCAGCGTCTTCCAGTAACACTGTATTCACTTTTTTTTTTTTTTTTTTTTGAGACAGGGTCTCTGTCACCCAGGGTGGAGTGCAATGGCATGATCTCCACCTCCTGCATTCAAGCCATCCTCCCACTTCAGCCTCCCAAGTAGCTGGGACTACAGGCATATGCCACCCTGCCTGGCTGCTTTTTACTTTTGGTAGAGATGGGGTTTCACTGTGTTGCCCAGGCTGGTCTCAAACTTGTGAGCTCAAGCAATCCACCCACCCTGGCCTCTCAAAGTGCTGAGATTATAGACGTGAGACACTGGTCACTGTGCCTGATCTAAATTCACTTTAAAAAGCACGTGAAAAAACAAAATTGTGTGTGTCCAGGTTCCTAGGTAGCCATATTAAATGCTGTAATTGTTAAGGAGGGCTTTTGGGCTGTGATGAACAGGCAGCCTTGGCACGGGCTCTGCCTCCTGTTTGTTGTCACTGCAGTCTTGTGCCGTCATGTTACAGGGCCCGGGGCTGGGCTTTGGCACCTCTCCCTGCCCCCCACCGCCCCCCCGCCCCGCCACGGGATTGCTGGGAAGCATGTGCTCGGTGTCTTACTGAAGAGCAGAGCTCACTTCAACGTGGCTGCTCTTCCCAGGATTGAATACTCAGGAGCCTGGTCTGAAATCTCCAGCCTTCCTTCAGGTTTTATTTTTATGAAAGCCAGCCTGTTCTCTTTTAAACCAGGGGCCTGAAGTCTGGCTTCTGAAAATATACCCCACAGGCCACTCTGCCGTGGCTTGTTTAGGCATTCCAGGGAGGGCTTGCTGACCCGAAGGTGTCCTCTGGCCCAGGTCAAAAGACCAGAGAAGACACTGGCGCCAGGACCCGCCACTGGCAAGGTAGCTGCCATCTGAGGTAGGATATTGTTCTTTTTTTTCCAGTTGAAGGCAGCCTTAACTATGGCTTCTCAGATGTTTGAGACACAAAAAAAGCAGTCTGACCCTGCCTTTACTTTCTGAAAATGACAGAAACTTTCAGATATATTTTAAGACACAGGTCATAAGCATGACCCATAGTTTATGTCACCTTAAATAGAGCAGCTGATCAGAATTGGCCATTGGTTATAAAATAAAATAGTAGGTGTAAGTTTGTGGGAACAGGATCCTGACTGCTGTAGCGGTGCTAAGCCACTCCGTGCCGTGTGGTTTCAGTGTCTTGCCTTCCAGTTGGAACTCCTCTCTGCCCCTTAGCCCGATTTCCTTGTGTGTAACATGGCAAAGTATTTCATGGCTAATCCTTCTTATAGACCTGAAATTGTTCTTTTTAGAAAAACTTTAGTAGGTTTTGAGATCCCCTCCTTTTATTCTCAGATGTGGCAGTTAGTAGTTTAATTTCTTTGCATGGTTTCTGAGTAGATTCCAATGACCTATTTTTATTAACAGTTCTTTAAAAAAAAAAAAAAAATGCCTGAGAGAAAGGCATCTTAGGAACGGATTCCATCTGTGAAATGCAATGGAGAATTTTGGCCAAAGTAGAAGGAATGGAATGGATGGCATAAAGGGTGGCATTTGTGCTCACAGTTGATTTCTTGGTGATAGTCTCATGTCTAATTTGAGGTTCCAGAAGCTCTTTAAAGGGTGGATGAGCTGCATAAACTGATGGGAGGGAGTTAGACAGTGGTGGGTTCACCAGAAAGTAAAGGAGCAGCAGTATCCCAGAATCACGGGAAGAAGCCCGGAACTCTGGCTGCCTGGGCCCAAGGAACACTCACCCTTAGAAGGACTTTGCCGCCTTTGCACTCTTTGAACCTGGGTCTAGAGCTCATTGATCTGGCAAGGGATGAAATACAAGCAGACAGCATTGGTATGTGAGTCCCTGAGCTCTGTCCCTTCCTCAGGCCGGTTCATGGAGCTCATCATCAGTGCGAGACCATGCTTTGGATCTCTTGCCCGAGGACTAAGGGTGTGATTGAGTGCACACATTCCATGTGTAGGTGGTGCCCTCTGCTTCCAGATGCCATGTGTGCTATGGTTTCTATTTGAGGGGCTCTCACCTTTTTCTGGGTTCAGTCTCTCTCCCCATGTCTCTGTCCTGCTTTCTGCCATGGCTCCCAGTGGTGCTGGATGGACTCTGTCCTTTCTTTTTATAAGTCGATCTCCAAAGGCTGAACATTGTGAGCAAGATATTTTTTCCCAGTCCCTTTTTATACAACCAGTCTTGCCTTTTCAGTCCGTGATCTGGCTATGTATCTGAAACTAGCAGCTAATAAGGATTTTGGTATAAAATACATGATTGATAAATATATTAAAGTCCTTCTTGTATGTCATTTTCAAAGAAAACAGGCTTCCCTTTGACCGTGCTTTATGTAGACTTATTTCCTAATCTGGAAATGTGGCCAGCTAGAACAGTGTTTCTCCCACTGTGAAGCTGTCCTTTTTGCTGGCAGAAAGCCCTGGACATCACAGCAAGGTGATGGGGGTTTCCCTGGCTAGTTCTCATGGCCATCCTGACTTCCAAAGACAAGCGCATTAAAAAATAAAATTGTGGGGGCCGGGCGCGGTGGCTCAAGCCTCTAATCCCAGCACTTTGGGAGGCCAAGGCGGGTGGATCACGAGGTCAAGAGATTGAGACCATCCTGGTCAACATGGTGAAACCCTGTCTCTACTAAAAATACAAAAATTAGCTGGGCATGGTGGCGCGTGCCTGTAATCCCAGCTACTCAGGCAGCTGAGGCAGGAGAATTGCCTGAACCCAGGAGGCAGAGGTTGCGGTGAGCCGAGATCGAGCCATTGCACTCCAGCCTGGATAACAAGAGCGAAACTCCGTCTCAAAAATAAATAAATAAATTAATTAATTAATTAATTAAATAAAATTGTATGTGTCCAGGTTCCTAGGTAGCCATGTTAAGTGCTGTAATTGATAAAGGAGGGCTTTGGGGCCATAACGAACAGGCAGCCTTGGTACGGGCTCTGCCTCCTGTTTGTTGTCACTGCAGTTGTGTGCCGTTGTGTTACAGGGCCTGGGGCTGGGCTTGGCCCCTCTCCCTGACCAAGGAGGCCCAGCAGCGTGGCCACATGCCCTGAAGAAAAGAACAGTTAGGAGGGCTTTCAGAATTTGAAAAAATCCTAGGAGTTGGGATTATCAACATGAACAGCATCTGGTCAGGAAAGTTATGCTGGAATTGAACCTGATTCTCAGATAAATGGCTTGCTCTGGGGTATCTTTTCCCACCATGGTCATTCTGTGTTAGCAGGGGAGAGTTGGCACTGGATTTTGTGTTTTTTTTTTTTTTTTTTTTTTTTTGAGACAGGGTCTCACTCTGCCACTCAGGCTGGAGTGCAGTGGTGCACTCTTGGCTCACTGCGGCCTCAGCCTCCCAGGCTCAAGCAATCCTTCCACCTCAGCTTCCTAAGCAGCTGGGGCTACAGATGTGCACCACCATGCCTGGTTAGTTTTTGTATTTTTTGTAGAGACGGAATTTCACCATGTTGCCCGGGCTGATCTTGAACTCCCAGCCTCAAGCGATCCCCCTGCCTTGGCCTCCCAAAGTGCTGGAACTACAGGTGTGAGGCACTGTGTTCGTCCTTGGCACTGGCTTTTAATTTACTTTGCATTCCGATTTGATAGCAACCCACCAGACTGAATGCAACGTGCCCTCTCCCCACAGCAAGCGGCCCAGGCCAAGGATGGATCCCATTCACCTGGTGCCATGTTTGCCTCAGGCAAAGTGGTCCCCAGGGCCAGGAGACCAAGGCTGGATGTTGTGTCAGGTGCTCAAGGAGTCCCAGAAGTATACAAGACGGTGTGTAGTTTTCTCTTTCTTCATGTCATAGATTGCTGGCTTGAGTTTTAATTAGGTTGCATGAAAGTGCAATTTGTTGGGAGCTTTAATCGTCTTCCACTGGGGAGGCTTGCTGAGCTGGTTTATTTTCATCCTGCTCCTCCCAGGTGTGAGCAGGGGGTTGAGGGACATTTTAGTACCTGTCTGCTCTCTCTTGCTTTGCTGGCCTTGATAACCACATTTTCTAACATAAAACTCGGGACATGAGAGCCCGACTGCTGACAGTGTTGTAGAGTTTTTTCCTATTTGTTAATTTGATTAAACTGAAGGGTTTATGAAGATATAGAAGTCAAACGGCACTGGACACTTAATGAGCTTCCTTTATTTGGAAAGAACCACTGTTCATAAGCCAGGGGTCCCTACAGAGAGCCTTGGGAGTCTGATTGTTGGGTGAGGTCCTGGGCCAGGAACTTTGAGTTAGTCATGGTCACAATGATGCTGGTGGCAGCTGTGTTCCCTCTGTGCACACAGATGAATTCATCCAACCTTGTAGCAAACCAGGAGGCAGGTCCTCTCAGCGTCAGCTCAGAAGTGAGGACACCGAGGCCCAGGGCAGTGAGGCCCTTTTGCCAGGCTGCCAAGTGACTGGGTCCGGGTGTCACCCCAGCCAGGCTGGCTTGAGGTTCATCCTCACGCCCCCTGCACTGCCACTGTTACACTACAGTTTGTGTTTTTCAGGCAGTCTCTGAGTTTTGGGAAGCAACAGGATGCATACTTGGCTCTTGACCCCAATAATCTCAGCGGCGTTCTGCCTTAGCCTCAGGTTGTAGGTTTGAAACGGGGTGGACTTCACAGGCTCTGGCCTCCCCTAGCCCGTGGCGGAGTGTTCAGAGGGGTTTTCACCCAACACGCCTAGGGGAGCCCAGGCCCCCACTCCTTTCACATCTCAAGCTCATTGTGGGCAGTGGCTGGTCCCTGCGCTATTCTGGACAAGGCAGGGTAGTCCTACGCGGAGACCTGCCTGGTACAAAGACCTGGGATTGCAGTGAGAAAAAAGCTTTTAGCAAATAGCCATCCAGCTGGGTTGAACTCTGCGCAAGCCTGCACTCCTCAACCAGCTTATTACATGCAAGTTCTAAGCTCTACTTACTTACCTGGAGCCTGCTCTCGCTTTCTGTCAATTGTTATAATTTTCTGGTAAAGTTATATCAACAAACTGGCAACCATTCCCGCCTCCTACTGTTTATCCGTCCTTCCCCTGGGAAACCCTCCCACATTCCCTGTTTTCAGGATCTTGGTCCTGTGCAGAACTCCAGGCAGCGCCCACAGAACCTGGAGTGGCACAGGCCTTGGTGCCTGCTCTCCGCCTTAACTGAGCACTTCCCAGGTTCCAGACACAGGGTCCTTAGGACCCAGCATACCCTGCAGGCAAGAATACCTGGCCAGAGCTTCCTCTTGGGGCAGGGATGGTACCAGTAGTGTCTGGGCGAAGAGCTCGGTGCTTTAGATACCACTTTAATCCCCAGTTCATCCAGCGGAGGCTTGGCCTAGTGTAAAGCAAGAGGGAGCTATAGCCATGCAGCAGATAGTAGCTGAGGAGTTTCCAGAAGTGGATTAAGTGGCAGTTTGTGGGAAACTGTCATTTTTACAGTCTAAGAATGTGGCTATTTTTTATGGTCAAGAATTCTGGTGTGGCCAGGGGCGGTGACTCATGCCTGTAATCCCAGCACTTTGGGAGGCTGAGGTGGGCGGATCACCTGAGGTCAGGAGTTTGAGACCAGCCTGACCAACATGGTAAAACCCCATCTCTACTAAAATTACAAAAATTAGCCAAGCTTGGTGGTGTGTGACTGTAATCCCAGCTATTCAGGAGGCTAAGACAGGAGAATTGCTTGAACCTGGGAGGCGGAAGTTGCAGTAAGCCAAGATCGCACCTCTGCACTCCAGCCTAGGTGACAGAGCGAAACTCTGTCTCAATTTAAAAAAAAAAAAAAGGACCAGGCGCGGCGGCTCACGCCTGTAATCCCAGCACTTTGGGAGGCCGAGGCGGGTGGATCACGAGGTCAAGAGATCGAGACCATCCTGGTCAACATGGTGAAACCCCGTCTCTACTAAAAATACAAAACATTAGCTGGGCATGGTGGCACGTGCCTGTAATCCCAGCTACTTAGGAGGCTGAGGCAGGAGAATTGCCTGGAGGCAGGAGAATTGCCTGGACCCAGGAGGCGGAGGTTGCAGTGAGCTGAGATTGCGCCATTGCACTCCAGCCTGGGTAACAAGAGCGAAACTCTGTCTCAAAAAAAAAAAAAAAAAAAAAAAAAGAATTCAGGTATATGTGGAAAAGCAGGTGAAAACGTAAATGCTAAACTAGTTGAGTTGACAGTTCCAGTTGCGGTAGAATCCTCTTGCAGGCAGCAGTTTAGCATAGATGAGGACAACTACCCTGAACGTGAACTTCAGGATCAAAGCGACCTGGTACATAGACAGATGCATGTTGGGAGTCCGCAGTATTCCTGGCTTCACTCTGGCATCCAGAGTTGATGCCCTGGATGGGATATTAAAGTGGGCTTGAGCTGGGATATTAAAGTAGGTGGGTGAGGTTTTACATCATTGCTCCAAGCCGATGGATAATTTAAAGCCACAGGCTGGTTTGCCAGAACTCTCTTCTTGGTTTCTAGCCTCTTCTTTCCTGAGAAGGATTCTATGCTCATAAACCACAGCCCTGGAGTTGGGCCGTGAGCCTTCTGTCTCATAGACTCTGGCTTGTTCCTCAAGTGGACTCCAGGTCATTGCTTTCCAGCGACAGCACATGGTGCTTACCATGGTCCTCACCAGCTGAGGTCACCAGGAGATAAGGTCTCCCTCTCATCTCCTGCTTTGGGCACAGGGGGACAGGTGAATGTGGAGGAATGGGGGAGGCTCAGGAGAAATAAGGGCAGGTGGGGAAAAACACATTTCCCGAGAATCAGCTGCACAGTGTTGCACAGACACTCATATAGCCTCCGGGTTTCATCTGGCTGACCATGGCTCAATGGGGAATGCTGGGCGGGAACATGCCACAGGCACAGTGGGGCAGCACGCTCCCTGGCCGGAGTCCATGCTGGTGCTTGGCACAGGGCCCTGCACTGAATCCCTCTGGGCATCTGTGAGACCTGTGGTCAGAAGTCCATCTGTGGCCCTCACAGTAACAGTCAAGGGGCTGCCCCACCCAGAAACATCCGTCCTCTCAGGGTCTGCTCTGAAGAGGATAAGACTGTTACAGTTTCTTTTTCCTTTCCTTAAAAAAACCCTTTGTGGTTTCACAAATATTCAGGGATTGAAAACGCGTTATTAGAGGTAAGGCCAACACAGGTTTCCAAAGGAGAGAAGGTGAGTACTGACACGTGACCTCTTCCTGTAACACTGCAGGTGACTGCGTCCTAGGCTGAATGGCAATCTCCGCTTGTTCCCTGAGGGGCAGCACGAGGCCTGTGGCTTTTCTGTCTGCTCTTGTCAGTGCTGAGATGAGAAAGTTCCGCAATGCTGAACAGTCGGCCGAGGGTGTCAGGCCTGGGACAATACTTGCCGGGGCTTAGAGCTGGAGTCCATAGAGGAAGACCTGGGATTCCTATCAGACGAGAGGAAGAGCCTAGGCAAGTCCCCTGAGCTCTGCTACTTTGTCACTGGTGTGTTTGCTTTTGGTTCTTCCAGGAAGAGTCTGCTGAAGGTGAGGGCCATGGACTTCATCACCTCCACAGCCATCCTGCCCCTGCTGTTCGGCTGCCTGGGAGTCTTCGGCCTCTTCCGGCTGCTGCAGTGGGTGCGCGGGAAGGCCTACGTGCGGAACGCTGTGGTGGTGATCACAGGCGCCACCTCAGGGCTGGGCAGAGGTAGGTCCTGGAGGCAGTGCTGCCAGTGGGTGGGGAGAAGTCAGCCAGGGATGAGGAGCCTCCCAGCTGCACAGGGGCCATCACCACAAATGCCCGAAGTGGCAGCAGGAAGTGCAGATAAGGGAAGGGGGCCGGATGACACTGTCCTTGGTCCAAGTGGGAACAGCAGGAGCCAAAGCATTAAGAAATGACTCAGCATCAGGATGGGAGGAAAGAGCAAGCGAAGCGGCCTGGCCCTGAGGGGTGGGGTGGGATGCATGCCCCTCGCAGGGCAACCCTGCTCAGCCCCAGTTGCTTGCTGAATTAGAAATTTTATGTGAAATCTCCCAATTTCCAAATCCGGCAGCTAATTTAAAACGTGTTTTTACCTCTATGAGGACCAAATAAAACATGTCTTTTCTTGGATTCAGCGGGGACCTCCGGTTTGCAGCTTTGGTGCACGCTTTCTGTGAGCCTTGCTATCCCAGTGCCAGGCCCCTGACTGTACCCTTAGCATGGTCTCAGCAAGGCCAGAGACAGGATAAATGGCACCTCAGCTGTTCCAGGGTCTCCACTCTAGGTCCGTTGCAACCCAGTGAACACCGTGAGCTTCTAAGTCTCAGGAATGATATTCCGGGACCCTGGCTTGGAGTGTCAAAACCTGGGCTTCCCCTTCTCCCATTTCTGGAAGGCTGTGTGTTACAGAGCTCTGCTGTTTTCCTGCCACACACATATATTGACTTGGCACGTTGCACGTGCACACACCGCACCATCTGCCATCCATACTCACGCTGAGTTCCATGGAAGAAGGCTGAGGAGTTCCATGGAAGAAGGCTGAGGAGTTCCCTGAATTGTGGTGACCCCACCTGCTGCTGCATCTTCTGGTTGCTGACAGCTCAGCTGGAGCTGATGGATCACCTGCTAAGTGGGAGGCTCTGGGCCAGGTGCTAGGACAAACGGATAAAAGACAGGGTCCCTTCCTTCAAGGATGTCACCGTCGACTGTTGTAAGGAGAAAGGCAAGGACTTATCTCTGTATATTGCCATTGCAGTAACGTATGCTCCCCAACCAGCCTGCTGGGGACAGGGCACATGTATGTGTGCTGGGTGGTGCTAAGCATTTTTACATGCATTATCTCACTGACTTCTCGTAGCTAAGATTCAGGCAAGGAATGACCAGGACTTCCAGCCAGAAGGTGCAAAACCCAGAGTCAAACCTACATCTCTCTGTCTAAAACTCACAGTCTTAAAGCTTCAGCAGGGGAGATGGCCAGGGAAAAGGAAAGGTGGGCTGGGAGACGGGACATTGCAGATGGGCCCAGAGGTAGGAGCAGCGTGGTCGCACAGGGACTCAACACCTGGGTGCTGCATGAACATAGAGGAGCAGATGGGCCTTTGTAGTGGAACTGACTTGCAGTTGGCCAGGGGTGGCCTCAGAAGGCTTTAGGGAGTATGGATTCATTTATGCACCACTGTGGACGTTAGGTGAGGTCTCCGTGGGTGAACACCATGTCTGTCATTGGATATCCAGACCTTTGCAGGGACAGCTGTCCGCAGGCCCTTTGCCATCGTCAGTCCTCTGACCTTACTCAGTTACTATATATAGAGTGGTCAGCAACCACTTCTCTTGAGCTCAAAGAGAAGCATTTTGTGAAAGTCCTTGAAGAGCATTTGAGAGATGGCAGAGGTGGAGCTCTGAGTCACAGGCGCTCCCATCCGTGGATGTTTGAAAAGCATGCTGTCATCTTCATTCTGCATCTCCTCTCCCGACACCAAGGTTATGAAGGGAACAGAAAACGTCACAGAGGTCACCAGGCCTGTCTATGTATCATGAGATGTCAGGCCTTTCCTGAATTCCTGTCACTGCTTATATTCTGCCCCATTTAACTTTTTGGGAACAAGAATCCCTCCATCCAGATAAAGTAGGGCAGATTCCTAACTGGCCACGTCAAGTACAGCCACGGTTGATGTCGCCAAGGATGCGCTGCTGTTCCCGTACTTCTTTGAGGAGGCAGAGCTGTATGCTGTCCTCAGCGGCTCTACCTGCTGTGCAGCCACCCAGAAGGTTGGGAGCTACGCAATGAGTCTTCAGTTTTCATATCTACCCTATCTTGTCTCCTGTTTTGTATTTAAGCTTCTTGAGCTTGTCCTTGTGGAATAGTGGGACCACTGACTAAAGGAACAGAACGTTCTGGATGCCTGCCTCCTCCAGCTTTAGCCACATGGCTGCACACAGCTCTCTTGATTTCCAGCCAGGCGTGCCGGTGGCACTGGACAGACACCCACAGCCCTTCACATACGGTACCTTGGAGTTCTCCTTTCTCCTTGGACCCTCGTACCTTCCAGTATCAACTTTTGGAAGAAATGAAAATGGAATCCTTCCAATCTGTTGTTTTCATTTCTGTCACTCCCTACACAAACTTTCATTTCCTGTCTTAGCTTTGCTAGGAAGCAAAACTCAAACCGAATTGAGGCAGTCATCTTCCCAAAGTTGTTCAGACTCCCGTGGGCCTCCCACCTTCGGTTCTGTGTCTGCTCCCTTTGGTGGCCCCTCACAAATGTCCTATGCATTGGTCAGGACAAGACAAAATGGGGTGAGGAAGCAAGTAGGGCCCACGGTTCCTAAACTCTGGGAATGATTTCTAAACCGGATGAGCAGTTCTAGCCTCAGGAATGCGGGCATCTGGCTTGGAGTGCAGCCACCACCCCCCTCCTTGCTGTGGGGACTTTGCTGCTCTGCTGAGAAGTGCACCAGGGCAGGTGGGGCTGGAGCACTGGGACCAGGCCTCACTACCCAGGGTGGGGTGCTCTCTCTGAGCTTCCGCCCTTTGTCTGGATGAGTCAATGAACACACCAGCCTCATGTCCTTCAAAGAAGATGGTGTGTCTAGATTGAGACTGCTTAGCACCTCTTTCCCGAAGACTGTCGGGTCTGTGGAGAGGCGCCTGGGGTGAGCTAGTCCTGTGTGGGGAGCTGAATGAGGAGCTGTGGACCACAGGGAGGCTTTACACCATGAGACAGACATCAGGGAGCCTCCCCTCAGACCTTTCAGGACCCCTGGTGCTGAAGAACACTGGAGTTTCCTCTCCTCCCCTGTTCTGAGTGCATCTAGCTTTAAGGAAGTTTGACACTTCTCTAAGGGAAGGGCTATTCAGACCAGTAGCCACTGCCTGCCCCTCTGACCTTTCCTTCTTTCCCAGCTGAGGAGCTAGATGGCAGCCCTGATTTTCTGACCCCACAGCACTGGCTCCTCACCATCTGGCTCCCTGAGATGGAACTAGCCTGCAAAGGCCATTCCCGTCCATGAACTGGGAGCTAGGGCACCACCTGGTCACCTGAGCCTCTAAGATTTGGTCTGGAACCAAGTCGGTGGCTTCACTTGGTGTCAGGTCAGGGTGGGCCAGGGGTCGAGGTGTCCTGTACAGATCTGCTGGTGAGATTCGAGGGAGACTACACGTCGGGTGAGGACAGGAGTGCCTCTCTAAACCAGCATGCGGCTGGGTGCGGTGGCTCACACCTGTAATCCCAGTGATTTGGGAGGCCCAGGCAGGAGGATCGCTTGAGGTCAGGAGTTCTAGACCAACCTGGGCAACACGGTGAAACCCCGTCTCCACAAACATTAGCCAGGTGTGGTGGCATGTGCCTGTAGTTGCAGCTACTTGGAAGCCTGACGTGGAGGATCACTTGAGCCTGGGAGGTTGAGGCTGCAGAGAGCCACGATCACAGTACTGCAGTCTAGCCTGGGTGACAGACCAAGAGACCCTGTATCCAAAAAAAAAAAAAGGTCAAAAACTACGTTTCAGTTTTCATCATCTGTTTTTAGAACATTGTTATTTATTTACACTTATAGTTTTATTTTTTTGAGATAGGTCTTGCTCTGTCACCCAGGCTGGAGTACAGTGGTATGATCACAGCTCACTTGACTTCCCAGGCTCAAGGGATTCTCCTACCTCAGCCTTCTGAGTAGCTGGAACTATAGGCATGTGCCATCGCACCTGGCTAAGTTTTTCTTTTTTATAGAGACAAGATCTCCCTATTTTGCCCAGGCTGGTCTGAAGCTCCTGGGCTCAAGCGATCCTTCTGCCTCAGCTTCCCAAAGTGCTGGGATTACAGGCATGAGCCGCCATGCCCAGCTACAACATTTTTACAAAGTGGTTCAGAAATATGGCCAGGCACAGTGGCTCATGCCTGTAACCTCAGCAGTTTGGGAAGCCATGGCAGGAGGATTGCTTGAGCTCAGGAATTTGACACCAGCCTGGGCAACATGGCAAAATACCCATCTCTACAAAAATACAAAAATTAGCCAGCCATGGTGGCGAGTATCTATGGCCCCCACTACTCTAGAGGCTGAGATGGAAGGATCACTTGAACCCAGGAGTTCGAGGCTGCAGTGAACTGTAATTGTGCCACCGCACTCCAGCCTGAGCAACAGAGCAAAACCCTGTCCCTAGAAAAAATTTTTTAAGGTCGGGCGCGGTGGCTCACGCCTATAATCCCAGCACTTTGGGAGGCCGAGGCAGGTGGATCACGAGGTCAAGAGATCAAGACGATCCTGGTCCACATAGTGAAACCCCGTCTCTACTAAAAATACAAAAAATTAGCTGGGCATGGTGGTGCGTGCCTGTAATCCCAGCTACTCAGGAGGCTGAGGCAGGAGAATTGCCTGAACCCAGGAGGCAGAGGTTGTGGTGAGCCAAGATCGCGCCATTGCACTCCAGCCTGGGTAACAAGAGCGAAACTTTGTCTCAAAAAAAAAAAAAGAAAGAAAAAATTTTTTTAATAAATAGAAATACAAAAACGACAGTTGACCCTGCGGTAGTGCTGTTCATCTAGGGAGCACTGCAGTAGGAGAGTACTTACCTTAGCTTATTCCGTCCCACAGCCACACCCCCAGGGACTGAATGAGCTAAGGTAGGTAATCTCTTACCACAGTGCTTGATAGATGAAAAGCATCCTAAATAAGAGGAAAGTCAGAAACACAGAGGTTCTAACTTACTGGAGTTCAAGTCTAGCTCAAGTCCATTCTCTTGGCTACTGGGCTGCTGCTTTTCATAAGCTGTATGCGTGTTTTCAAGGCACTATTTATTTATATAGGATATGCTGCAGGGAAGGCCAAGCAAGAAGTGGCAGCATCACCCTCTGCCTCCTCTCCTCCCATCACTGTTTCCTTTCTGACTCCCCACAGGGTAGTCCACCCCCGGTTCTCAGGGTTTACCCTCCTGCATCCAGGGTTTTTTTTTTTGTCAGGCCCTCCAGCTTAGCCACGGGAGAATTAACCTGTGACTCTTCTGGGGCCCCCATTCAAGGCTGATCACAGCCTTCCCTGGGATTGGATCAGAGCTGGGTGGGAAGAGACAAGACAAAACTGTGTGTCAGGGGCGTCGTGTGGATGTGAGCTCTGGGGCCCTCCCACGCGTGACAGCGCCCCCACGGCTCTCCTCTCCATTCTTGAGCTTCCCCACAATCCCTCTGGTAAATTCTCTTTTTGCTTTACCCCAGTGTGAGTTTAGTTTCTGTTTCTTGCCACCAAAACAATATAGAGCACGTGTCTGACTAGCTTTGGACTGTCCCTGCTGTGGTCTTCGTTTAAGTCCTCATCAGTTGTCACCTGGAATAGTGCAGTGGGCTCTGTAGTGTCTGCTAGTGTCTGCTTTCCTCCAGTGTCCCCACTCCCTCCTGCCCAGTGGGACTGAGCCTTTTCAAAGGCAGGCATCCTTCATAGTCCTGCGTGTGACAGGCACTCCCATGCACTGACTTGACCCCTCCCTAGCCAGTGAGGCTGTTAGACCTTCTGTCCCAGCCCCATCTGCCTGTGGCCTCTCAGGCACTCTGCTCCCTCTGCCTTAAGGACTCCCTGGGAAACAGCCCATCACACCTTGGAAAGGCCTCAGTCCTCTGCCCCAGCTTTTCTACAGGACCATGTATTTCCAGGAGAGCTGTGCCTGGGTAGTGCCACCACACAGCCTTGGCAGGTCACGGCATCATAATAGCGGGCCCTGACTATCCTTGCCTGTCAGGACAAGCCCCTGCCTGAGTGACGCTGAGCTCCCTGTGAAGATGGGTGATGCTCACAGCTGATCCAGGTGAACAGAAGTATCATGGGGTGTTCTGAGCGTGGTACTTAACCCATCTGTCCATCTCAGCCTGCCTTTCTCTTTGCCATGTGGATGTCTGTAGCATTGGATATGAGCCCCGCACTGGGCCCTAGCTCCCAGCTTCATGCTGGGCCACACAGCAGGGGCCAACACAGACACGTCAAGGGTGTGAAACAGCAGACGGCAACACTGGGTGAATTTGAACCGAACGGCACTGGGGAAGAATGGCTGTCAAGGCTCTTTTCTCTTCCCTTAGAGTGTGCAAAGGTCTTCTATGCTGCGGGTGCTAAGCTGGTGCTCTGTGGCCGGAATGGTGAGGCCCTGGAAGAGCTCATCAGAGAACTCACTGCTTCTCATGCCACCAAGGTGAGCCAGGGGCGTGCTTTCCATGGGGAAGGAGTGCAGGCCATCTTCTGTAGGCACTGAGGAGGTGGCGGCCCACTCCTGGCCTGCTGAGCTGCAGGACATCCATGTGTCACAGTGTCCCAGGGAAGGCAGCAGGTCTCCATAGCAAACTGGGCCCCCTGCCTGGGGAGAGAACTGTCCAGTGATTTACATCCCAGTGCCCCTGCTGGTTAGCACTGTGAGTTTAGAAGGTTCTCTCTTGCTTTTCCTTTCCTTTTACCTGGCTAAGCTCTACTCATTGGGTGGAAATGGGGCTTGGTGATGACTTTAAAAGTTGTTTTTTTTTTTAATGGAATCTTGCTTGTAGCCCAGGCTGGAGTGCAATGGCACGATCTCGGCTCACTGCAACCTCCACCTCCTGGGTTCAAGCAATTCTCCTGCCTCAGCCTCCTGAGTAGCTGGGATTACAGGCATGTGCCACCATGCCCAGCTAATGTTTTGTATTTTTAGTAGAGACGGGGTTTCACCATGTTGACCAGGATGGTCTCGATCTCTCGACCTCGTGATCCACCCGCCTCCGCCTCCCAAAGTGCTGGGATTACAGGCTTGAGCCACCGCGCCCGACTATTTGTATAAGTTTTGAGGTCCTCCAGCTGTCCTTTTTCTGGAGTGTTTTGGCTATTCAGCGCCCACTGTATTCCCATATGAATTTTAGGATTATTTTTTTCTATTTCTGCAAAAACTGCCAGTGGGATTTTGATAGGAATAACATCAAATCTGTTGATCACTTTGGGTAGTACTCTCATATTAACAGTCTTCATTGCATTAATGCAGGATGTCTTTCCATGAACTTATATCTTCTTTAATTTCTGTCAGCATTGTTTATAGTCTTCAGTATACAGTCTTTCACCTCCTTAGATTTATTGCCAAGTATTTGTCTTGGTCTGTTTTATGCTGCTGTAACAGAATATCAGAGACTGGGTAATTTTTATTTTTATTTTATTATCATTAATTATTTTTTAGAGACATAGTCTTGCTTTGTCACCTAGGCTAGAGTGCAGTCGTGTGATCCTGGCTCGATGCAGCCTGAAAATCCCAGGCTCGAACAGTCCTCTGCCTCAGCCTCCTGAGTAGCTGGGACTACAGGCACACGCCACTGTGCTGGGTTAATTTTTTAATTTTTTTGTAGGGACAGGGTCTTGCTATGTTTCCCAGGCTGGTCTTGAACTCCAGGCCTCAACTGATTTATCCACTTTGGCCTTCCAGAGTGCCAGGACTGAGTAATTATTAACGAGATCTATTTATCAAAGTCTGGAGGCTGAGAAATCCAAGTTTGAGGGGCCAGCATCTGGTGAGGGTCTGGTGTCTGGCAGGGGCCTTCTTACCACGTCATAACATGTAGGAAGGCATCACATGGGTGAGAGATAGGGAAAGGGGTTGAATTTTATTCTTTGATAAGGGAGCCACTCCCACAATGACACATTAATCCATTCATGAAGTTCCCACCTCTCAATACTATTGCATTGGGGATTCAGTTTCTAACACATGGGTTTTGGGAGACACATTCAAACATTAGCATATTTAATTTTTTTTAACTGCTATTGTAAATGGATTAGCTTTCCTGATTTCCTTTTCAGATGATTATTGTTTGTGTATGGAAACACAGCTGATTTTTGGATATTGTTCTTGTACCCTGCCACTTTGCTTAATTTGTTGATTAACTCTTTTTAGCTTTTGTGGATTTGTTGGAATTTCGTCTATATAGAATCATGTCATCTGCAAACAGAGATAGTTTTACTTTTTCCTTCCTTTTCAAATTGGGTCTCTTTTTTTCTTGTCTAATTGTTCTGGTTAGCCCTTCCAGTGTAATGTTGAGTAGCCACTGTGAACGCAGGCATCCTTGCATTGTTCCTGATCTTAGAGGAAGCCTTTCCATCTTTTTCCACTGAGTATGTTATCTCTGGGTTTTTCATAAACATCCTTTGCTGTGTTAAGGAATTTTTGGTCTATTCCTAGTTTATTGAGTATGTTTACCTTGAAAGCGTGTTTGATTTTGTCAGATCTCTTTTCTGCATTACTTGAGATGATCAAGTGGGTTTTTTTTTTCTTCATTCTATTAATGTGGTGTATTAAAATGATCAATTTTCGAGCCGGGCGCGGTGGCTCAAGCCTGTAATCCCAGCACTTTGGGAGGCCGAGGCGGGTGGATCACGAGGTCAAGAGATCGAGACCATCCTGGTCAACATGGTGAAACCCCGTCTCTACTAAAAATACAAAAAATTAGCTGGGCATGGTGGTGCGTGCCTGTAATCCCAGTTACTCAGGAGGCTGAGGCAGGAGAATTGCCTGAACCCAGGAGGCGGAGGTTGCGGTGAGCCGAGATCGCGCCATTGCACTCCAGCCTGGGTAACAAGAGCGAAACTCCGTCTCAAAAAAAAAAAAAAAAAAAAAAAAAAACAAACAAATAAAATGATCAATTTTCTTTTTTTTTTAATTTACTTTTTAGCCGGGCACGGTGGCTCAAGCCTGTAATCCCAGCACTTTGGGAGGCCGAGGCGGGTGGATCACAAGGTCAAGAGATCGAGACCATCCTGGTCAACATGGTGAAACCCCGTCTCTACTAAAAATACAAAAAACTAGCTGGGCGTGGTGGCGCGTGCCTGTAATCCCAGCTACTTAGGAAGCTGAGGCAGGAGAATTGCCTGAGCCCAGGAGGCGGAGGTTGCGGTGAGCCGAGATCGCGCCATTGCACTCCAGCCTGGGTAACAAGAGCGAAACTCTGTCTCAAAAAAAAAAAAATTTTACTTTTTAAAGAGACAGGGTCTTGCTATGTTGCCAAGGCTGGCCTCGAACTCCTGGGCTCAAGCGAGCCTCCCACCTCAGCCTCCCCCCTCAGCCTCCCCAAGTGCTGGGGATTATAGACATGAGCAACTGCACCTGGCCATGACTGATTTTCCTATGTTGAATCAACCTTGCTTGCATTCCTAGGATAGATCCCACTTGGTCATGGTGAATACTTTTTTAATATGCTGTTAAATTCAATTTACTGGTATTTTGTTGAAGATTTTTGCAACTGTAGTCACTAGAGATATTACTCTATAATTTTCTTGTGATATCTTTAATCTGGCTTTAGTATCAAAGTAATGCTGACCTCAGAGTGAATTAGGAAGTGTTTTCTCCTTCTTGTTTTCTAGAAGAGTACCAGAAGGACTGGTGTTAATTCTCCTTTAAATGTTTGGCAGACTTCACCAGTGAAGCCATCCAGTCCTGGACTTTTCTTTGCTGGAAGATTTTTGATTACCGATCCAATCTCTTTATCCGTTACAAGTCTCCTGAGATTTTATATCTCTTCTTTTTTTTTTTTTTTTTTTTTTTTTTGAGACGGAGTTTTGCTCTTGTTATCCAGGCTGGAGTGCAATGGCGCGATCTCGGTTCACCGCAACCTCCGCCTCCTGGGTTCAGGCAATTCTCCTGCCTCAGCCTCCTGAGTAGCTGGGATTACAGGCACGTGCCACCATGCCCAGCTAATTTTTTGTATTTTTAGTAGAGACAGGGTTTCACCATGTTGACCAGGATGGTCTCGATCTCTCGACCTCGTGATCCACCCGCCTCGGCCTCCCAAAGTGCTGGGATTACAGGCTTGAGCCACCGCGCCCGGCCACATTATATCTCTTCTTGAGTCAGTTTAGGTAATTTGTGTTTTTCAAGGAATTTATCCATTTATTCTGGTTTTTCTAACTTCTTGGCAAATAATGTTCATAGTATTCTTTTATAATCATTTTTTTATAATCTCTTACAATCTTTTTTTATCATCTCTTGTCATTTCTGTAAAGTCAGTGGTCCCACCTTCATTTGTGATTTTGGTTATTTGTGTTTTTTCCTTGTCAGTCTAGTTAATGCTTTCTCAATTTTGTTGATCTTTCAGAGAACTAGCTTTTGGTTTCATTGATTTTTGTTGTTTTTCCATATTGTTTGTTTATCTCTGTTCTAATCTTTATTATAATATTTCCTTCCTCTGCTGGTTTTGGGTTTAGTTTGCTGTTCTTTTTCTAGTTCCTTAAAGTATAAAGTTCATTATTGCTTTGAGCCTTAGCGATCTGTAGCTACAAACATCTGTACATAGCTCAGACGGCCTGTCACTCAGAAAGTGAATCTGCCGTCTGTTGTATTTGACCAGGTGCAGACACACAAGCCTTACATGGTGACCTTCGACCTCACGGACCCTGGGGCTATCGTTGCAGCAGCAGCCGAGATCCTGCAGTGCTTTGGCTGTGTGGACATACTTGTCAACAATGCTGGGATCAGCTACCGTGGTACCATCATGGACACCACAGTGGATGTGGACAAGAGGGTCATGGAGACAAACTACTTCGGCCCCGTTGCTCTAACGAAAGGTAACGGTTTTGAGAAACCAGCAGTCACAAGTGATATGTTGCCATTCCTTTTACTTCACTTGGATCCTTTTCGGCTAAACATTCCCTGTCTCCATCCTCTCTATTGCCCTGGAGTGGGTGTTACTGTTACAGTTTTGGTATCTGCTTTATAGTTTCCAGTCAAGATGTTCTCCTTTGTGACAGCCTCACTGGTGCAGCCTTCCCTACGTGTCTTTTTCATGGTGCCCGCAAAGCCCTACAAGGTGGGAAATTGTTACGTCCCACCACGGATTTCAGTCCAGGGGAGAGGCTCCAGCAGGAAAAGGGAACTGAGCTACCCACCTGCAGTGACCTCCGTCCTTGTTTCCTTGCCTCTCCCCTCCCTCCTGCTGGCCTGCTGGCACTCTGCGGGGCATAGGAGGCTGGGAGTTCCCAGATAGTCCTCCACCCGAAGGGGCTTTCACCATTCTCCCTCGCTCTGACTAATGACTGGAAGTCGGGTACTTGTCTAAGCCCCTGCCTCTGTCCTCAGCGCTCCTGCCGTCCATGATCAAGAGGAGGCAAGGCCACATTGTCGCCGTCAGCAGCATCCAGGGCAAGATCAGCATTCCTTTTCGATCAGCATGTGAGTTCTTCTGTCTCCCACAAAATGCTTTATTGTTTTCTCCTGATTATAAAAATCACACATTTACTATTCAGAATTTAGACATTGTAGAAATAAACTATCCAGAGTGCAAAGGCACTTTAGAACGTGTTCTCCAGAGCCACAGGCCTGGGTTCAAATCCCGGCTGCATTTTCTGTCCCCTCTGTAACCTTGGGCAAGTGTCCCTACTTCTCTGTGCCCCGCCCTCAAGTGTAAATGGAGACAGCCTCAGCCTCAGCCTCAGCTTGCAGGACTTCGTGAGTGCGGTGCGTGGAGCTGCCCCAGGCACTAAGCGCTAGGCGTGGGCTAGCCACTCTTACTGTTATGATTGTCCCACAGATCTAATCATGCCATCACTTTGGGACATATGCCTCCACATTTTTTTCTACGTATAATTCAAATAAGCAAAAATGGGCTGGCATTATTCATACTGCTTTGTGGCTAGTCAGTCCCACTTAACAGTGAATCTTTCTGCATCAGCATGTATGGATTTACCATCCTTTCACGTGGATACAGAGTAATTCATTGAATGAGTGTGACATTAATTGATTTGGCCATTTTTCTAGACACTTGAGCATTTTTTTCCCCCTCAGTCTTTGACCATTAGCAGTGGTGCTACATAAAACATTCTCAAATATTTTTATCTCTGGGCACTCAGAAGGTTTCCATAAAAAGGGCTTTAAGGTAATTACACATACTGTCCTTTCTTTGCATCACCTCCTGAAAGGAAATACTGCCTATGCCAGCCTCATCTCCTCTCCGCTACCCAAGGGCTAGGCCCAGCCACAGCCTGGTCAGCAAAGGCAGGGAAAGCTGAGCTGCTGTAGCACTTTCCAAGGGCAGCCACAGCATCCCGTTCCGTGACACGGCAGGGCCAGCTGTGAACTGGGAGTGTAACACAGTTTATCATTTCTTCCAAGGTCTGAATCCCAGCTCTACCTTTTGGTTCTGGTTCTGTTTTCTTCAACACATTACTTAACTCTTCTGATCCTGTTTCCTTACATATTAGTGAGATTTACAATCATCATACATGCTTGTACATACATTATTTCCCTGTTTGTTAATATTCTATTTCAACTTTGGAAAGGACAGCCATCTAAGGCTTCTCAAATGGTTCAGGAAAAATACATATGGAATCAGAAATGATAAAGCAAATGAGTTAAAATGTTAATAATAGGTAAATCAGGGTAAAGGACATAAGAGTTTTCTTTTGTTTTTTGAGACAGAGTTTTGCTCTCGTCTCCCAGGCTGGAGTGCAGTGCTGCAATCTTGGCTCACTGCAACCTCCGCCTTCCGGGTTCAAGCAATTCTCCTGCCTCAGCCTCCTGAGTAGCTGGGCTTACATGTGCACCACGATGTCCAGCTAACTTCTGTATTTTCAGGAGAGATGAGGTTTCACCATGTTGGCCAGGCTGGTCTCAAACTCCTGACTTCAAGTGATCTGCCCACCTCAGCCTTCCAAAGTGTTGGGATTACAGGCATGAGTCACTGCGCCTAGCTGAAGTTCCTTATACTAAGTTATCTTCAAGTTTTACTTTGATTTATAATAATACCACTGATTTTTGTTGTCCAGTTGGCCCACTGACTGCAGTAAGGCATGCAATGGTTGGTCTCCATATTCAGCTTTATGATGACCAGGCTAAATATGGAGTGCCTCTTGGGCAAGTTGGTTAACCCAGATAAGTAATGGCCTTCTCACCTACAAATGGGGAGAAGAGCGTTCTCTCTCTCACACTGCTAAAGCGAAGACCACATCACATCATCCACACAGTGTGCTTAGTACGGGGCCTCACACTGGCAGGGTGAGTGATGTGAACGGTGGCGAGGTCAGCACAGCCTGGCTGAGCAGTCGGTTAGGTCAGCACATCCTGGCTGAGAACTGACAGTCTGAGAGCTCTGGGGAGACCCAGGTGTCAGAGTGTAGCAGTCTATTTTGGGGACTTACAGGATAACCCACTCTTTCCTGTCCCCAAGCTTGGACTGTACTTTTGGAATCATGGCTGATAGGAGCAGTCCTCTCCATCCACCCACAGACAACTCATCCAGCCCCAGCAACTGTGCCCCAAGCCAATGGAGCAGGCCCAGCAAGGCACTGCAGCAAGCTCAGAGACACTGCTGAACTGCCTCCTGTGACTTGCTGCGACACTTCCTTGCTTTCTCCCTTCCTGTTTCCTTAGCTGACGGATGCCCCTTCTTTCCTAAGGCTAAATCTGAATTGGAGGAAACTGTGATTTACTGTGGAGATGCTGGTATGTTTCCCAGAATGTCATTATAGGGTCACTGTGTTCCCATTCGGAGCACCTTTTACTGGGGTGTGAAGCCCTTGCGCCAGAGCAGACACAGCTCTGTTTCTTGCAGGTGGAGTAAGCTCTATAGCTCTTCTAGATGAAAAGCCACTGCCTGGATATTTGTAAAAATGAGATATATAGAAGGGCAGGCTTGGATTCTATACACCCATGAAGGCCTACTGCTGGGGCCCCTTCTGTCACCTGGTAACTCACGGGGAGGACTAGGCAGCCAGAGCTACATGCAGGTCGGCAGGGCGAGCATGGGAGCTGTCCTACCTGCCACCAAGTAAAGAAAGCTACTTGCAGGAACAATAGAATAGGTAGGAGCTCATTTCTGTATTTACACACACACACACACGTATATACACATATACATATATATGGTTTATATAAAATGTGTAAAATCACATGGATATATGTAGGATATATAAAAAAATAAATTGGCCAGGCCCGGTGGCTCACGCCTGTAATCCCAGTACTTTGGAAGGCCAAGGCAGGTGGATCATGAGGTCATGAGTTCAAGACCAGCCTGGTCCAGATGGTGAAACCCTGTCTCTACTAAAAATAAAAAATAAAAAAGCCAGGTGTGGTGATGTGCACCTATAATCCCAGCTACTCAGGAGGCTGAGAAAAAGAATTGCTTAAACCCAGGAAGCGCAGATTGCAATGAGCTGAGATCACCTGGGTGACAGAGCAAGATTGTCTTAAAAAAAAAAAAAAAATCACTGGGCATGGTAGCTTACTCCTGTAATCCCAGCACTTTGGGAGGGTGAGGTGAGAGGATTGCTTGAGGCCAGGAGGTCATGGCTGCAACGACCTATGATCCTATGATCATAGCTCCACTCTAGCCTGGGTGACAGAGAAGATGCCTTCTCTGAAAAAACAAAATATAATTATTATTATTATTTTGAGACAGTCTTACTCTGTCACCGGGGCTGGAGTGCAAAGGCACGATCCCGGCTCACTGCAACCTCTGCCTCCTGGGTTCAAGCAATTCTCCTGCCTCAGCCTCCTAAGTAGCTGGGATTATAGGTGCCTGCCACCACACCTGGCTAATTTTTATGTTTTTAGTAGAGACGGGGTTTCATCATGTTGGTCAGGTTGGTCTCAAACTCCTGACCTCGTGATCAACCCACCTCGGCCTCCCAAAGTGCTGGGATTACAGGTGTGAGCCACCATGCCCAGAAACAAAACATAAACAAAAATCCTGGGATACTGTTAGCACTGATTATCTCTGGGAGTTGAATTTGGAAGCTAGGAGGACTTTTGTAATGTTTTACCCAGTAGGCATTCATTTTTTTTTTTTTTAACTTTTAACTCGGAATAACTTCAGACTAAAAGTTGCAGGAACAGCACAAATAACTTCCATGTACCCTTCATGCAGATTCCCTGTTAACCTTTTACCTAATTTCCATTACCATATTCTCTCTGTGTGTATATGCATGTATACAGTTTTAATATATATAAAACTATGTGTGTATATCGTGTATAATTTTTCCTGAACCATTTGAAACTGGAGACATAATGCTCTTTTATTCCTGTTTCAGTGTGTTTCCTAAGAACAAGGGCACAGTACACTTCTCCAAGTCAGGAAATGAACATTGTTATAATATGATAATCTTAAATTATAAAACTAGGTTTTAGAGCTGGGCTCAGTGGGCCATGCCTGCAGTCCCAGCTGAGGCGGGAGGATCACTTGAGCTCAGGAGTTGGAGTCCAGCCTAGGCAACATAGCCAGACCTGATCACAAATAAAACCAGGTTTTAGAGCCGGGCGCGGTGGCTCAAGCCTGTAATCCCAGCACTTTGGGAGGCCGAGGCGGGTGGATCACAAGGTCAAGAGATCGAGACCATCCTGGTCAACATGGTGAAACCCCGTCTCTACTAAAAATACAAAAAATTAGCTGGGCATGGTGGTGCTTGCCTGTAATCCCAGCTACTCAGGAGGCTGAGGCAGGAGAATTGCCTGAACCCAGGAGGCGGAGGTTGCGGTCAGCTGAGATCGCGCCATTGCACTCCAGCCTGGGTAACAAGAGCGAAACTCCGTCTCAAAAAACAACAACAGAGCCGGGCGCGGTGGCTCAAGCCTGTAATCCCAGCACTTTGGGAGGCTGAGGCGGGCGGATCACAAGGTCAAGAGATCGAGACCATCCTGGTCAACATGGTGAAACCCCGTCTCTACTAAAAATACAAAAAATTAGCTGGGCATGGTGGTGCGTGCCTGTAATCCCAGCTACTCAGGAGGCTGAGGCAGGAGAATTGCCTGAGCCCAGGAGGCGGAGGTTGCGGTGAGCCGAGATCGCGCCATTGCACTCCAGCCTGGGTAACAAGAGCGAAACTCCGTCTCAAAAAAAAACAACAACAACAACAACAACAAAAAAACAGGTTTTAAAAACAGAGAGCATGAATGGTAGTGAATAGTTGGGCACCAGACCACGCCCACTCACTCATCTGCCTCTCCATCCACATGTGTAGACGCAGCCTCCAAGCACGCAACCCAGGCGTTCTTTGACTGTCTGCGTGCTGAGATGGAACAGTATGAAATTGAGGTGACTGTCATCAGCCCTGGCTACATCCACACCAACCTCTCCGTAAATGCCATCACCGCGGATGGATCCAGGTATGGAGGTGAGGCCTGGTTTCTCTTTTCTCCTTTGAAAATCTGTCAGTTGGCCAGGCACGGTGGCTCATGCCTGTAATCACAGTACTTTGGGAGGCCGAGGTGGGCAGATCTTGAGGTCAGGAGTTCGAGACCAGACTGACCAACATGGTGAAACCCTGTCTCTACTAAAAATACAAAAATTAGCTGGGCATGGTGGTGCAGGCCAGTACTCCCAGCTATTCGGGAGGCCAAGACAGGAAAATCGCTTGAACCCAGGAGGCGGAGGTTGCATTGAGCCGAGATTGTGCCACTGCACTCCAGCCTGGGTGATGGAACAAGACTTTGTTTCAAAGAAAGAAAATCTGTTGATCAGCCACAGTGAGACATGCTGCTCTTACCTCAGTGATGCTTTGGTCATATTCATCTGGAACAGAACTTTTAAAGGGGAAAAGCTTGACAGAGGTGTTGGTTTTAGACACGGACTAGTGAGTTAGCTTCGTTTACCTCACCAAGGCCCACCCTTAGTGTGAACCGTTGCAGCATTCAGAACAGGACCTCTGTGGGCAGGACTCAAGGGCTAAAAGGAATTTGCCATGCCGAAATGCCACCAGACTTCCAACTAACCCTCTCACAGACCCCGTGTTCCAAGGAGTATCAGTATCAGGGTTGAGTGAATTGACCTCATGGCAAGTGTAAGGTGTTTGATGGTCTGCCTCCGTCCCGTAGCTTGAGAAATGACTGATTATCAGGGCCAGGCTTCAGGGTGAGGCTGAGGGTGACAGTCTCAGCACCTCCATCTTGTCTCATTTGGAGACAGTGCCGAGCTGACTTGCAGTCACCACTCGTGGGCTGAGTAGCCGGCCCCAGCATGCAGGCTCAGGTCAAGCAGAGACCTGTGTGCTGTGAGCACCGGAGCCCTTGAAGCTGGTGCTGCCTCCCGTGCTTGGAACAGGGTCTGCACACCCTCCAGTGCTGTCCTGCCGTGTCCTCCTCCCTGATGTGATCTCCTGGGGTTTGTGCTGTGGTGTCCGCCCGGGGCCTTATGCTCCTGCACCCAGCCCAGCCAGACCTGAACCAAGCTCTCCATGTCCTGGCAGCAGCTGCTCTCTCACAAAGTCTTGTTTTCCCCACAATAGAAACTGTACAGAGGCATGGGGCCTGGTACAGCTTTATACCTGTTGATACATAAAAGATACCACTTTAAAAATGATCTCCGTGGCACTTAAAAATAAGCTGTAATCCAAAACTTCCTGTTTTTCTGCATTAACAAAAACACAATGAGAACAGACACTGGTGAGGGAGCTCAGGCAATCTGGACAACTTGAAAGTGGTTTCATATGGCTGGGCACTGTGGCTCACACCTGTCATCCCAGAACTTTGGGAGCTGAGGTCAGGAGGATCACTTCAGCCTAGGAGTTTGAGACCAGTCTGGGCAATATTGCAAGACCTTGCCTCATCAAAAAATACGAAAACTAGCCAACTGTGGTGGCACTGCTTATAGTCCCAGCTATTCAGGAGGCTGAGGCAGGAGGACTGCTTGAGCCCAGGAGGTTGAGGCTGCAGTGAGCTGTGCTTGTGCCACTGCACTCCAGCCTGGGCAACACGGTGAGACCCCATCTCAAAAAAAAAAAAAAGGTGGTTTTATGTGGTCTGTGGTAGTGGTCTCTCCTGGGTGCCTGTCAGCTGGTCCTACTTTGCTGGCAAAATTGTCAAATTACTAGGGTAGAAGGAACATCAGTTGTTGTTAATCTAACACTTCCTCTTAATCTCTCCCAGCTGTCCCTTCTAACGTCTAAAACAAATTAAGGATTTCTTCCTGTGTCTCATCCAGTTAATACTTGACATCGAGAACAGGGGCATCTGTCTGCTCTTGGCAAGCTTGTTGTGCATATGGGGGTCATACAGTCCCTGACCACCTTGTCTGGACACCCTGAAGCCAAGCTACCCAAGACAAATTAGGTGGCACAACGTCCCTTAGTCTTTGGTTGTTCTAACAGGCACACGCTCACCAGGTCAGGAGGCTGCTTTTCAGAAGTGGAGTGAGGGGCTCACCGGGCTCACCCTGTGCCTTTGCTGTGGACCACCGGGCAGACAGACTCGCTCTGGTTCCAAGCCCTGACTGGGGTCATCAGTCTACCTTGTTTCCACATCCCACCCACCTCTCGCTTCCTCCACTGACCCATATCCAACCACAGAATGGTTCCTCATTTCCCTGGAACACGGAATCATCAGGGATGGTGGCACACCACGGGCTTCCTGGCTCTGGGAAGAGCTTCGTGTTGGGACAGGCAGCAGGCTGACCTGACGGCCGACGTCAGCTCAGATCCTCAAGAGGGACCTCTGCTTCCAAGTTACTGTGTTTTCTTTTATTTTGTTTATTTTAGTTACGGACAAGACCACAGCCCAGGGCCGAAGCCCTGTGGAAGTTGCCCAGGACGTTCTCGCTGCTGTGGGGAAGAAGAAGAAAGATGTGATCCTGGCTGATGTGCTGCCTTCCTTGGCCATTTATCTTCGAACTCTGGCTCCTGGGCTCTTCTTCAGCCTCATGGCCTCCAGGGCCAGAAAGGAGCGGAAATCCAAGAACGTCTAGTGCTCCGACCAGCCAGAGCCAGGGCAGAGAAGACACACTCCTAGGCTCGGTTCCTCTACAGGGACAGTTGCATTTGTGAAGACTTGAATGGAGATTTGTCTCACAAGCGGGAAGGACTGGAGAAACACGTCTGTGCAGATCTGCTGGCAGAGGAGGAGAACCAAAAAAGGCAACAAGCTTCTTCCAGGGTGAGGGGAAACACTTCGGAATAAATATGGAGCTGCAGTTTAACGAGAAAAATAAGAAAGAAACGTCTCAAATAGTCAGAGTTGTCGTCTTCAAGGACTAGAACCTTGTGTCCTGTGAATTCCAGCCCTGCCAACTCCTACAAATTGGTTCAACCTTAGAATCAGAAGATGCGACGTCACCTGACCCAGCTGTTTTCGTATTTGACTTAAACCTCATTGTTTTGGCAGAAAGACCACCTTCAGCACCCAAGGGAAAACTCAGTAGTTTTTTTGTTGTTGTTGTTGTATTTTAAGATGGGGTTTCGGCTGGGCGCGGTGGCTCACGCCTGTCATCCCAGCACTTTGGGAGGCCGAGGCGGGTGGATCACGAGGTCGAGAGATCGAGACCAACCTGGTCAACATGGTGAAACCCCGTCTCTACTAAAAATACAAAAAATTAGCTGGGCACGGTGGTGCGTGCCTATAATCCCAGCTACTCAGGAGGCTGAGGCAGGAGAATTGCCTGAACCCAGGAGGTGGAGGTTGCGGTGAGCCGAGACCGCGTCATTGCACTCCAGCCTGGGTAACAAGAGCGAAACTCCGTCTCAAAAAAAAAAAAAGATGGGGTTTCACCATATTGGTCAGGCTGGTCTCAAACTCCTGACCGTAGGTGATCCGCCCACCTCAGCCTCCCAAAGTGCTGGGATTACAGGCGTGAGCCACCGCGCCTGGCAACTCAGTAGTTTCAAGAAGTCAGTCGTCATGCCCATTTCCAGGGCCCTGTGATATCCAACACAAAAAGTGGCCCAGTATGTGATGGCTTAAGGGATGCTGGCTTTAGCACCTCATAAGAATTTCCATTTCTAGGCTGGGCGCAGTGGCTCACACCTGTAATCCCGGCACTTTGGGAGGCCGAGGCAGGTGGATCACGAGGTCAAGAGATCGAGATCATCCTGGGCAACATGGTGAAACCCCGTCTCTACCAAAAAATACAAAACTTAGCTGGGTGTGGTGGCGTGTACCTGTAATCCCAGCTACTTGAGAGGCTGAGGCAGGAGAATCGCTTGAACCCCGGAGGAGAGATTGCAGTGAGCTGCGATTGTGCCACGGAACTCCAGCCTGGTGCCTGGCAACAGAGCAAGACTCTGTCTTTAAAAAGAAAAAAAAGGAATTTCCATTTCTCTCTTAACTCTCACCACATCCCTGTAGGATGCCAGGCACCACTCGAAGCAGAAGGTAAACTTACTAAAGAGACAGCAGCCAAAAGGAAGAGGAGAACCCTGCATGGCCGCGCGTCCTCTAACAGTGAAACCATCAAACTGGCCAGCTGGGCAGATCCCACAGCAGCCCCTGGTCTGGTGGAAGTGAGCCATTTGTTAGCTGTAACTAGCTGGATCATAGCCAGAAAGAATGCCTGTTTCTGCCTTTCTGATTTATTAAAAATACAGGGTTGAAGCTCACTGAGTAGGTCGAGTTCATTTCTGATGTTTAGGAAGAAACTTCCTGTTACTAAAACTGAAAATTGAAATACATTGGAATACAAATCTCCTAGCATATCATATTGACATTTTGCACCATGTCCCAACTCTGGCCTTGTTGAGATTGTATTTTAAACAGCTGCCCTAAACAGATGATAAAAATGGCCACAGCCAGCCTTTGGTTAGGGTGCCAGAGGGTTTTGGGTTTCCTGGGAGTAGGAGGACAAATGGGTGACTAGATCTGGTGACCTGCCCCAGCTCATAACATTTCCTGGACGTTCCCAGAGCCTTTGGTAAAGTGTGGACATAGTGATGGGTGGTTCTTCATTTTCCAGGTAAGTTGTCAACCTCCCTTCTGCCATGGAAGAGAAGGGTCTCCTTGGTGTTCACAGTGGAGACAGTAAACCCAGGCAACAGCTGGTACTGAGACAGCAGCAGCACCTTTCTAAAGCTCAGCCCGAGTCTGAAGTTGAACGAAAGTGCCAGGCGCACAGCAGGTTTCCAGGAAATGGCAGCCATGAAAGGCGCTCGCCCTCTGATGGAAACGAGAGGACGTCTCTCCTTGGATGCTGTTGGCTGCCACACTCAGAGGCACGTGGTGTCCAGGTGCTGTCCTTTCCTCTCCATTATATGACGTCGTCAGCAACTGGAGGTTGATGTGATAGACTGCCCTCAAAGGAATGCAAGTTTAGCAACCATGTACTCCGTCATCAGAAGACGGGAACGTCAAATATGTTCTTGAAGTGGTTGGTTTTGGGGCCACTGTGACCTGACTCAGCTGGCAAGCATGGAGCTTGGGCTGGCACTAAAGATTCCTCAACCTACATGCCACCTGTGAGTTGTAATTGGTTAGATTGCAGCCAGAACGAACACCTGCTTCTACCTTTCTTTTTTGAGATGGAGTTTCGCTCTTGTGGCCCAGGCTGGAGTGCAATGGCGCCATCTCAGCTCACTGCAACCGCCATCTCCTGTGATTCACCTTCAAGTGATTTTCCTGCCTCAGCCTCCCGAGTAGCTAGGATTACAGGTGTGCGCCACCATGCCCGGCTACCACCTTTCTAATTTATGAAAAATACATGTTGAGGCTTACTGAGTTAGGTCAAGTTCATTTCTAAAGTTTATTTCCTCTCAAATTAAAGTGGTTAGCAGCTGGAGACGAGCTGGATCTCAGTACTACTGGTTGTTTACTTAACATTCTAAAATCCTCAGCTCACTTTGTAAAACTTACCTTGAAAAACTTTATATTCTACCATATAAACTATAACACAAAGTGAACAATTATTAAAACCTGCTAAATAAAGCTGTTTGCCATAGCCAGAGTCTGCGGCCCGCTGTTCTTGAGGAGGTTAGCAAGTCCCAGAGGGGACCTACGCCAGCACCAGACAGATGCTCTTGCCCTCAGAGGCTGAGGACCAAAAGGGCCGGCAGCTGTGCTCTTTCATGTCCATGCTGCTCCTACGGTCGCCTCGGGTCCCTGGAGTTCCGTGTCCCTTCCTGGAGACAGCAAGGGTTTGGATAATGTGGGACTTACTGAGCCTTTAGAATTGTCCCGACTTAGCAGCTGAAGCGGCTTCCTGTGGGTGAGAGCCCCATGTGCTTTGCTCCAAAGCAAGGAGCGCAGCCACAGCCCAGGTGCAGCTGATGGCCCTGAGCAACCTTCATTGCGCTCCCATTTTCAAACCAGTGTTTGAATAGGAACGTTTGCCAGCGGGGTTAGTGATGCTGCTGTTCCAGTTTCTCTTTTCTGTCTTTAGAGGGGTTTTGCCCCCTTCTCTTTCATCCTTAAATTCTGCTGGGGAGGTCTGAAAAGGCAGTTTTTAATTGGTTCTGCCTTCAGATCTCTGATGAAGTTCAAAGGCACTTTCCACTTTGCTCTTCAAGCGCCTTGGTGTTTCACATCATGCCCAAACCAGAGACGGAGAAATAAAACCAAATTACCTTTTCCAAACAGCAGCATCTCCGTGCAGTGTAGAGGGGCCGTAGCTGATTAGTGAATCCAAGAAATAGTGTACGGCCCCTGGGCGCCCTGCCCACCTCCCAGCAGGTCTCCCTTCCTTCCCTCAGGGCCCAGCAGCTGCTGCACCAGATGTGAAAACTTTGGAGCGAGCTGACAGACCGGAACGGGATCCAGTTTGATCAGTTGTCCTTTTACATAACGGCTCTTCATTCTTCTCTGAAAATGGGTGGGGATAGGTAGCTGAAACTGTTTATTAGATTAGTGACACAGTCTATCCCTAAAGTGGTCCATGTAGGACTCATTTAAGTGGATTTTGCACATGAGGGCCCCGGTAACTTGGCCTTTGCTTTCTCTTAATTGGCAGTTACTGAATGCTGTTTAAACAACAACAAAAATTTGGCCGGGAGCGGTGGCTCACACCTGTAATCTATAATCCCAGCACTTTGGGAGGTCGAGGCAGGCAGATCACCTGAGGCCAGGAGTTTTGAGACCGGCCTGCCATCATGACGAAACGCTATCTTTGCTAAAAATACAAAAATTGGCTGGGCATGATGGTGGGCACCTGTAATCCCAGCCACTTGGGAGGCTGAGGCAGGAGAATTACTTGAATCTGGGAGGCTGAGGCTGCAGTGAGCCGAGATCGTGCCATTGCACTCCAGCCTGGGCGACAGAGTCCATCTCAAAAAAGAGATTTGTCGACTCTGTTTCCTAAGCTGGAGTGCAGTGGTGTGATCACAGCTCATGCATTCATCCTCAACCTTCCAGGCTTAGCGATTCTCCCACCTCAGACCCGAGTAGCTGGGACATTTGCATACCACCTGACTAATTTTTGTATTTTTTTTGTATAGACAGGGTCTTGCTATGTTGCCCAGACTCGTCTTGAACTCCTGGACCTCAAGTATTTAATGCTCCTCCTGCCTCAGCCTCCCAACGTGCTGGGATTACAGGCATGAGCTACTGTACTCAGCCGTCGAATGCAGTTTCTTCAAAAATACTGTTGCGTATCACAGATGAGCATAAGTGACTCAGCGGCTCTGCCGCGACTGCTTATCTAGGTGGGGCAGTGGTGGGAACAGAGAAGTCAGCACTGACAGCAGGGATGGAGGCGCACTTCTCCTCCTCCACGCTGCCGGCCTCAGGCACACCAAACCCTGCTTGCTGTCTACACCACACCTCCCTGGCCAGGGGCCGTGTATCCAAAATGGTGTGTTTCAGAATCTGGGTTAGTACATCCAACAAGAATCACTTTGTTCACTGCAGCTTGGGAATGGTGGGAGAGCTACCTGTTTGCACCTGGTTTGTACGTCGGGTGAGGGCTTCTGCTCAGCTGACTTGAGGTTGCCTCGACTTACCCAACTTGTGCTTTCTAGTCAAATCCCCCATGAAATCTAAGTTGTAGGCAGAGTATTTCCAGGCCAGGCATGGGACTCCTTTTCCAAATACGGGCATTTAAAAAAAAAAACAACAACAAACAAACACCTGCCAGCAGGCTCAGATGCCAGCAGGCAGACACCTAAGGGCCCATGCACACCTGCATTTCAATCACACTGCCGAGATGGGGCATGTTTTTCTGGGATCAGTTGTGTGGCCAAGACAGTTTCCTCTTTACCATCATTCCAGGTGGCCGGAGACTGTCATGTAAACGGTGGTGCAAACCCAACGCCGTCACGCCCCCAGCACTCAACTGAGTGGTATTTCTCAATCTCTTGGAATTAAAGTTTCTTAAGCTTTCTGTGGGCCACAGGTCCATTTTAAAGTCTTTAAACGCTCTGAATGTCCCCTACAAAAAATGGCCCTGTCACCCCTCTTGAAATCCTCCCATGCACCCCTTCATTACTGTGACATCAGGTCTTCCTGATGGAGCCTTTAAAACTAGGTGAGGGCCGGACGCGGTGGCTCAAGCCTGTAATCCCAGCACTTTGGGGAGGCCGAGGCGGGTGGATCATGAGGTCAAGAGATCGAGACCATCCTGGTCAACATGGTGAAACCCCGTCTCTACTAAAAATACAAAAAAAAAATTAGCTGGGCATGGTGGCACGCGCCTGTAATCCCAGCTACTCAGGAGGCTGAGGCAGGAGAATTGCTTGAACCCAGGAGGCGGAGGTTGCGGTGAGCTGAGATCGCGCCATTGCACTCCAGCCTGGGTAACGAGTGAAACTCTGCCTCAAAAAACAACAACAACAACAAAAAAACTAGGTGAGAAACCACTTTGGCTGTCTCTTAAAGACTGGCCTAGCTAGGGAAGGCAGCTCACGCCTGTAATCCCAGCACTTTGGGAGGCCAAGGTGGGCAGATCACTTGAGGCCAGGAGTTTGAGACCAGCCCGGCCAGCATGACAAAATCCCGCCTATACTAAAAATACAAAAATTATCCGGGCGTGGTGGCACACACCTTAGTCCCAGCTACTCTGGGCTGAGGCATGAGAATCACTTGAACTCGGGATATGGAGTTTGCAGTGAGCCAAGATCACGTCACTGCACTCCATCCTGGGCAGCAGAGCAAAACTGTCACCAAAAAAAAAAAAAAAAAAAAAAATTGGCCTTCAGGAAGAGGTGCCATATGGCTCTTCAAGGGTGAATGGGGAAGTGAAGGCAGGGGCCCCAGCCTTTTTGTGGAGGAGATAATTTCCCATTTTTCCAAGGCCTTAGAGCAAGCTTGTACAATCATCAGTCAATCAGCGGCCCAGAGGCCACATATTGCCTAGGACAGCTTTGAATGTGGCCCAACACAAATTCATAAACTTTCCTAAAACATTATTTTTTTGCAATTTTTCAAAAGCTCATCAGCTTTCAGCCGGGCGCGGTGGCTCAAGCCTGTAATCCCAGCACTTTGGGAGGCCGAGGCGGGTGGATCACGAGGTCGAGAGTTCGAGACCATCCTGGTCGACATGGTGAAACCCCGTCTCTACTAAAAATACAAAAAATCAGCTGGGCATGGTGGCGTGTGCCTGTAATCCCAGCTACTCAGGAGGCTGAGGCAGGAGAATTGCCTGACCCCAGGAGGCAGAGGTTGCGGTGAGCCGAGATCGCGTCATTGCACTCCAGCCTGGGTAACAAGAGCGAAACTCCGTCTCAAAAAAAAAAAAAAAAAAAAAAAGCTCATCAGCTTTCATTAGTGTTATCGTATTTTATGTGTGGCCTAAGACAATTATTTTTCCAATGTGGTGCAGTGAAGTTAAAAGATTGGCCACCCAGGCGGGGCGCAGTGGCTCACACCTGTAATCCCAGCACTTTGGGAGGCCAAGGCGGGTGGATCATGAGGTCAAAAGATCGAGACCATCCTGGCCAACATGGTGAAACCCGGTCTCTAATACAAATACAAAAAATTGGGCCAGGCACAGTGGCTCAAGCCTGTAATCCCAGCACTTTGGGAGGCCGAGGAGGGTGGATCACGAGTTCAAGAGATCGAGACCATCCTGGTCAACATAGTGAAACCCTGTCTCTACTAAAAATACAAAAAAATCAGCTGGGCATGGTGGCGTGTGCCTGTAATCCCAGCTACTCAGGAGGCTGAGGCAGGAGAATTGCCTGAGCCCAGGAGGCGGAGGTTTCGGTGAGCCGAGATCGCGCCATTGCATTCCAGCCTGGCTAACAAAAGCGAAACTCCGTCTCAAAAAAAAAAATACAAAAAATTAGCTTGGCATAGTCCCAGCTACTCGGGAGGCTGAGGCAGGAGAATCGTCTGAATCCAAGAGGTGGAGGTTGCAGTGAACCAAGATCGTGCTGCTGCACTCCAGCTTGGCAACAGAGCGACTCAGTCTCAAACAAAAACAAAAACAAAAAACTGGCCACCGTTGCCTTAGAGAAAACGTGGCAGGTGACACACGTTTTGGTGTGAGGGAGCAGCACTGGCTTGGCTCCTGTGTAACAGGGAGCACCGAGGCCAGGGGGTGCTTCCAAGATTGCTCTGAGGGCTCTTCTGTCAGCCTAGAGCAATGGGTTAATAAACTCAGGGTCCAGTTTTGTGCTTCAAAGAAGCACGTTCAGATCGCTAAAGAGGAATCCTAGAGCCCAGAGTTCCCCACATGAACCCAAGTGGACACCCCAAAGCCTCCAAGCTTTGTCACCTTACGCCACCATCTTCCTGAGGAGCACGGTAGCAGTGCTGGCCTTAGGAAGGCTGAGGCCGAGGTGAGCCAGGAGACAGCTCCTGGGTGGGGTCTGGCCCCACAACTACCTCGGATCTAGGCTTGTCATCGCTAAGTGGTAACACCGCGCTGTCGCTAGGAGCAGGGCAGGGTGGCGACCGCCGCCCGGGGCCGATGTGCAGCAGCAGCAGTCACGGAAAGAGAGAACAGCGGGAGTTGAAATGCTCATAATTTTAATGGTCAACAGCTTCTGGTTGGGCTCTGGATGGTACAGTTAAACAATATACTTAAAGACCTCCCCCAAAGCACGTCCACACCCCCTCAGCAGCATTCCACTGCCCAATTAGACTTCCACAGCCTCAGACCCTCCTCTCGGGGTATGGAAATCCACATCTTAGTGTAATGAGCTGAAAAAACCCTGGGTACACCCGTGATCTGTTATTTTTTTTAAAAAATAACAAATATTAAGCCAAACACCTTCCCAGGCTCTGCTGCCTCACAGAGTTAAGAAACGTGACTGTGGCGATCTGAATGCTCTTGTCTCTTGTGGGCCGGGCGGTTATGCTTCTCTCCCTGCGCTCCCGAAATCATACAGGCGTAGAGTTCGTAAATCTTCTTTACACAGTACGCCAGGGCGGCCAGGGCTATCGTGTTGTGCAGTCTCTTTCTGTGCAGGTCGTCCTTCCGGACCAGCACCACCGGGGTGGAAGACGTGAGTGTGTGCAGAGGCAGGCGTGACAGTTTATAGGCGTCGTACTCTACTTGGTACTTGCAGCAAGGGTCAAACTGCCAGGAGATCCCATAGAGGGTGCAGCAGGCCAGGCTGAGCACGCCAGCGGGCAGGGAGATGTAGTGGGAATAATCTAAGGGCAGCGCCAGTGGGGTGAAGAGGCAGGCGGTGCCCGCCAGCACGGCCGTCTTGTGCAGGCAGTTGCCCACAGTGATCCAGCGGGCCGTCTCGTCGCCGATGCGTGTGGGCTCGATCACGATGTATTTGTACTGGGCTTCCAAGGGCCTGCTCCAGCTCATACTCAAACTGGTCTTGGGCATTCTCCCCGTTGTAGATCTCATGCACAATGTAGCAGTCCGTGGCCGACAAGCTCACCCTTTTGATGGAGGGGGCAGGAGAAAGAGGGAGTATGATTAGGCGTGCGTGTGTTTCAGCACTGGGGGAGGTCTGAGCCTCCGACTCAACTTACAGCCTGCACTGCGGAGGGCACCTCTCACTGAGGTTCTCATCCCAACACAAGACAATCAGTAAAAAGTATTTTTCCTGGCCAGGCGTGGTGGCTCACACTTGTAATCCTAGCACTGTGGGAGGCCGAGGCAGGTCGATCACGAGGTCAGGAGATTGCGACCAGCCTGGGCAACATGGTGAAACCCTGTCTCCACTAAAACACACACACAAAAATTAGCCAGGTGTGGTGACGCACGCCTGTAATCCCAGTACTTAGGAGGCTAAGGCAGGAGAATCGCTTGAACCCAGGAGGCGGAGGATGTGATGAGCTGAGACTGTGCCACTCCACTCCAGTCTGGCAACAGAGCAGGACTCTGTCTCAAAAAAAAAAAAAAAAAGAAAGAAAGAAAAAATTTCCTGAAAAAAATAGTGAAATATTAAAAAAGGCAGGAAAAGAAATACCTTGACTTAAAAATGACAAACGCAGGCCTGGTGGTTAGCCTAAGGCTGTGGACCAACTGATCTGTGAGTCAGCCCAGGAGCCTAAACGGGAGAGAACGACTGGGCAGAATCACATGGACACCAACTGCAGCACGAGGCCAGCCGCCTGAAAGCTGCTCTTAATCAGGGCACCTGCAGGAGGATTCACTGGAAATCAACAGACCTCGGGACAGATAAAGCTAAGCCCTTGTCCTCCGCAGTTCCTAAGCAGTCATCCTGGCCCTGCAGAACAGAGGCAAAAGGAAGGGCTTTGCCTTGGGTGACTGAAACCCAAACTCCTTTGGCTCTCCTGGGCGGCCAGGCTGTACAGGCCCTGGGTACCTTCCACGGGCCGGCAGCAGCACCCACCCCGCCATCGCGGAGGGGAGAACAGGAGACCCAGGACACTAGCCCACTCCATAGGAAAAGCGACCGTTTCACTGATTTTGGAAAAGACACACAGGAACAGTAGTGGCCCCCAAATTTAATGGGCAGGAAGGTCACTTGAGGGGTTTCAAAACATCCAGCCCAGACGATGACACCAATTCTGGCCCTGTAGACCCAGGCCCCTGCACCACCAGCTACAGCCACTCATTTGCATAAGAAACACTGCCACAGAGACCACACAAGGGGCTTTCCCCCTGGGACTGGGGATGCTCCACACAACCCCAACCAGCAGGAGAGTAATCCGGCCCATGGAAGGCTCAGCTCTGCAGCAAGGTCAGATGGTGGCCCAGCGGCACCCCGGCACTGACCATGGGCCAAGCTGCATTTTAGGCAGTCTGTTTTTTTCCTGGTTTCGGGCCTATCCGGTGCAAATTTCCCACCCAAAGCAGGATCTTCTTCCCCTGTGGCAGGCAGGCCTGAATTCAGGGCTGTCCACTCCTTGTCATCTTTCCTTGGCTGGTTTCAGCTGGCCCAGATCTTTCTGAATCTCTGCACGGTCACCCTGCATGCCACTTGTCCTCACCTGCAAGAAGGCTTTACCTGAGCCGTGACGGGGACACTGCTACACACAACTCTTGAGGCTGGATCAAGTTTTCCAACTCGTGGCTCCCAAGGCTGTGCACAGCCATGTTCTGTCCCCTACTCAGTGAAAAGCAGCCCCTTCCCTCGGCAAACCCTGGGCCCCAAGACGGTCAGACCCATCTGACTAAGGGACACGAGGCTCCAGGGACCTGCTGGTCACTGCTCCCCTACCGGAGCCCAGGCCCCTCCAACTGGGAGACTCTGGAACAGTGTTCCGGCCACACGAGGGTCAACATGGCCCATCTACCTATGGCTCCAAATGTCTGACAGGAAGCAGGTTCCTTTACTGGCCAAAGAGAAGCACAGCCCTCAATGTGCCCAGATGCGAAGGGCCCGCCTGCCTGTGCTGTCCTGGCATGCACGCCCGCCCGTGCAGAGGAAAGTCATGGGGAGCTGAGCCACCTGGCCAGTGGTAACATGGGGGTGATGAATGAAGACATTCGTAACAAGCCACTCCAGAACCTCAGCCCAGCATGAAGGTAGCCCCAGCCTCCTTCAAGGGTGGGAGCAATTCCAAGTGATGGGTGGTAGAAATCGGACTGTCAGGGCAAACTCCAATGGAGAAAAACAGGCGATCGTATTCCTACTGCTAAGACCCCCCCAGCTCAAAGCCTTCAGCTAACAAATAAGCAAACCTAACAGGCAGGGTTTCATTCTGGTCGGATAAACAACTGGTTAACGTCTCCTGTGGAGACACTGCAGATGAAAGTCATCAGTAATGGGCTGACTGTGCCCCCAAGCATGACGGCCCTACTCCCAGGTGGGAAGCACTTTCACAAAAGGCACTGGCTTGGACTTGGGCAAAGGGAACTCTTTATCCTGAAAAAGTAATTAAGCTGGGCTAAGGCAAAGCTTCCTAATTCAATCATAGGCCCTAATTAAACTGCATGCACTGGGGAGAAATCAGCGCTGCCAAGCCGCCTGTGACTGTGTGCCAGTGTCTTGCCTGCCTTGCTGGGGTGAACTGATGAGCTGTTTCTGTAAGACGGCACATTCGCTTATGAAATGGGGAAAGGAGGGTTTTCCTTCTGAAGTCCTCAGTGGAGTTTTTCCATTTGGTCTTAGAGGAGAGGTGAGGGGGAGCCCATGTCAGCTGTTATTCCCAGGCAGGATTCAACAATTTTCTTTTTTATTTTTTCCAGACAGAGTCTCGCTCTATCGCCTAGGCTGGAGTGCAGTGGCACAATCTCGGCTCACTGCAACCTCTGCCTCCCACGTCCAGGTGATTTTCCTGCCTCAGCCTCTCGAGTAGATGGGACTACAGGCACGTGCCACCATGTCCGGCTAAGTTGTTGTTTTTTTTTTTTTTCAGTAGAGACAGGGTTTCACTATGTTGGCCAGAATGGTCTCGACCTCCTGACCTCGTGATCCGCCTGCCTCAGCCTCCCTAAGTGCAGGGATTGTGTGAGCCAGCATGCCCAGCCAACAATTTTTAAGACACGGTGCTGCTCTGCCACCCAGGCAGGTGCGATCTTTGCTCATTGCAGCCTTGACCTCCCAGGCTCAAGAGATCCTCCCACCTCAGCCTCCTGAGTAGCTAGGACTACAGGTGTGTGCCACCATACCTGGCTAATTAAAAAAAAAAATTATTTTTTGAGACAGTCTCGCTCTGTCTCAAAGGCTGGAGTGCAGTGGCGTGATCTCAACTCACTGCAACCTCTGCCTCCCAGGTTCAAGTGATTCTCCTGCCTCAGCCTCCTAAGTAGCTGGGGTTATAGGCATCTGCCACCACACCTAATTTTTGTATTTTTAGCAGAGATGGGGTCTCATCATGTTAGTCAGGCTGGTTTTGAACTCCTGACCTCGTGATCCGCCCACCTTGTGCTGGGATTACAGGCGTAAGCCACCACACCTGGCCTAAAAAAGTTTTTTTTTTTTGTACAGATGGGGTTTTGCCATGTTGCCCAGGCTGGTCTCAAACTCTGGGCTCAAGTGTTCCACTCTCCTCGGCGTCTGAAAGTCCTGGGATTCAAAGGCAAGAGCTACCACATCCAGCCAGATTCAGCATTTTAAAGCCACACTCGGCAAACAAGCAGACCAGAGGCAGGGTCTTCACTGGCACTGGAGGACTGAAGGCTGAGCAGCACGCCCCCACATGCTTATATGAGAAATCGAGGGTGGTGTGCAGGGAGGCGCGGGGCCTCCACTCCCAGGTGGGAGCACTCCTAAGAAAACTCCCTTCTGGTCTCAAGTCCATCAGGCAAGAGGAGCAGAGAGGCCAGAGAACAAGGTAGGGGTGGGGGGCCAAATCTTGTCCCCATCTTGAGACTAAAATGGAGTTGCTTCCAAGTCAGCTGTGCATCCTACTGACCGTCAAAACCAGGCCAGGGACACCCTGGGGTGGGCACCAGAGGCGGGCTTCCTCCTTCAGGAGCATTCAAAGAAAAAGGGAGGTGCCAAGCTGGGGCTACACAATGTTCTCACCAACACCCAAATCCACCCTCGTGCAGTCCCTTTCTCTGCCCAGCAGGGCGGCGTCATCCTGAAGGTAGTGAAAACCACTGTTGGTCCCACTGAGGAAATCCGTGGAACCCCTAGCCACCGGAACAGACTGCCCCATCTGGAAACACAGCAGTGGGCAGATCCCAGTCCCTCACGCCCTCCGGCCCCCATCCAAGCCCAGCTGGCACCCACATCCACCCAGACCCCTCTGCAGGCTCCACTGCTTGCTGGGAAGGATGGGTGGGTCTGCCCGTGAGTCCCAACCAGCCTGGAAGTTTCGAGAGACCAAGGCCTTCCAGGATCCCTCCACATCACTGCTGTTGCCAAGTGTGGCCCACCCCCCAGCACAGGGAGTGAGGAGACCGGGTACCCTCTGCCCTTAGCTGTGGGCAGTCCTGTGAATGGCGCAGCCATGAGCAAGCATGTGGACATGGGGGCACTCGCCAGCATACATCCTGAGGTGGTGGCATGGGTCTGCCCCCACCTGCCTGCCAAACCACTGCCTCGGCCTCCTGCAGCCTCAGTGTCTTCTGTGGGCCGGGCACTCTTGCTGCCCACCATCTAAGACACCTACCCACAGCAAAAACACAAAGGGCATAAGCCACACTGCCCCCAAACGAAGGCAGCGTCCTGCACAGCTGCACTGAGGCCGGGGGCTCACCAATTCTGCTTTTAAAGCCAGTTAGGCAAAGGGAATCTCAGTTTCCCTTTGGGAAAGGACATGTGAAGTCTAGGGAAATGGATTTCTGGGATTCCATAATGAGACAGACCCTAGAAGGAGACAGCAAGGTTCAAACCAAAATACACACAGACACAGGTTTTGAAGCTGTCGCTGCTGGGCTCCTGGGGTTCAGGTCTGCATTGCTGACAGGGACTGCTGGACTTCTCTCACTTCAGAAACTCATGGCCATGACCAGCCGTGGTGGCTCACACCTGTAATCCTAGCACTTTGGGAGGCCAAGGTGGGCCGATCACTTG